CATAAAATGAGCATAATTAATCTGTCTCAGGGCATTATTTAGATATTTAAATGTCTAAGAATTCTAGGCATATCATCATGATTGAAGCAATATAAAAATTAACTCTTATATCTTATATAAGTTTCGAACAGAAATATATGCTGTTCTATGTATATAATTAACGACACTTAACAATTTAGCATACCATGTTTTACATTAAAAAGAGTACAACACGTTCATTCTAGTAACAAATACATAGACTACGAGAAAAAATACTGAATAATCATTCTATATATGAGTGATCACTATAATGATCGTGCTATACACTTTTTACTATAAAAATAAACGTTACACTGAATGAGTTATGGAAGAAGATATTACTTGGACCGTCTTTTTATTTTTTTGCCACACCCAGATCAGCAAACGCCACGTGATTAGGCAACAGGTTGAAAATGTAAAAGGCAATTCCCACGTATTGGACTGGTTTATTTGTATATACAAAATATTATCGACGAAAACAATATTTTTTTTTCTAATGATAAAATCAATCTATTTGGTTAGAGGCGTTTATAAAAGTGCATTACACAAAGAAAATGAATTACTTACGACAGTAACTAACGATGATAATGTTGAAATTGTTGTTATGTGTACTATTTTCTGGTAAGTGTTTTCTAATTTTTGGCATTTAAATATTTTTTGGAGGTGGTGTACTCAATGTGATCAATGATTGACATTATTAGAAATAAAAAATGCATTACAAAAATCGAATCAATATTTTTTTCGAAAGTTTGAAACTAGATTTCCTTGATTTGTATAATTAAAGAAACATTTGTTAACAGATCAAAATGTGTAGTTATTATAAGTACATATTATATATACTACATAAATAACAAAGAAATCATGGAGACTTTTCTGAAAGCAGACATTAAAAGTTCGCCTTCTAGCAAATTATGTGAGGAGTTTTGTCCTTTCAAGAAACTTGTTTATACAACAAATAATTCTAGCCCATATATGTATAACGTTTTGCATACCTGGAAAGTTAACATGATTATTTTGGTGTATTTGGTATAGAACATTTTTTATTTTAAATAGAGTTTACCTTTTATTTAGAAAATAGAAACATTTTTCATGGTAATTATTGAAAAAATGTGAATATGGTAAAAAACATTTATAATACAGTGCAAATCAAAATGCCAAAAAGGTGTTTTCTCCCAATTTTTAACAGTGGCACATTTGAGAGACTATATATTTTAATTGATTTTTTTCATCGGCAGAAATGAAACGTACGTGCAAGTATTCTAAAAAAGTCTTGACTTAAGCACAGTGTAAAGGTCATCACTATGTTTTGTTATTTACAGTTAATTAGAATTAAATAAACTAAATTAAGAATGAACAATCTTTCATTTACAATTATGTTTACATATTTGTGACGAAAAGTGCTTTATATGTATATATATGTATATATATATATCCAGTTCTGTAATAAGTGATGACGCTGTGCCTGAAGGTTATTAGTTTACTTACAGTCACGTTTGTTTTATGTTCAATAGATACACCCTTTGCATATACACGAAGTCTTAACTTTATCTTTAAAACACCATTTTCGAAAGATTCTCGTATAATATACCAAAAAGGGAAATCAATTTCCAAACCGGCCAAAGAATGGATTTAGCTCAATACAGGATTGGAGCAGTACCTCTAGACGCTTGCAGAAATCATGATCACAAAATAGACAAATATAGTTTTTTTCGCATATTTTTACATTTTTTCTTCATTATCGCACTTAATTCGGTGTGATAAGATGAATTAGACCTGTTTTAGTTCATTCCGTTGGGTAAAAAGGCAAGATTTTAGCATTTTATCATTCAAGCGCCTTGTCCGGTATATACCGGAATACGGTATTTAGTGTGGTGCTCCAATCCTTTTTTTAGTCACAGCCCCAAAGAATGACGTTTAAGTTAATGACGTTTGGTGTAATATTGCTACCTTGTTATGAAAAAGATGTATCTTTGAAAATTAACATTAACGATGTCACTAGGCTATTCAATGCATTATTTATTTAGTTCAAGAGTCTTCAATGTGACATTTTTTGGCCTTATTTTTATACACTTAAATAAGTTTTGCAACACCTGTATCACGCCCGTTTAACTCACAACGAGTGAAAAATGTCCATCGGTAAAAATGTTGTGAGCAACTTCCGTTCCTCGTTGTGAGCACCCATCTTTGACGTATGACACGATAAACAAGGTGAGGTTTTCATAATTTTTAAAGATTACAGACATTTATGTAAAAATATCGAAATGCAGTTAGCTAGCTGTGTGTTTTCCGAGTAGCCTGTTGGTGGACAATTTGATGGAAATACCGTGCGACGCAGTCACTCGGGGTAGCAGGAAAACTGGAGACAACTTCTCTTTGGACCTAATTAAACATTGAAAACGTCGATTCTGGTGACGTTTTGTGCATTCTAACCTTAAACAGATGCCCGCAAGTCTTCAGCGTAAATTATTATCTGAAAGTCTTCATAGAAACGAAGATATACCCTTTTTTGCTTTAATCCTCGTTGTGAGCACCATAACCTCGTTGTGAGCGAGACAAGCGCAGTGCGTGTATGGTTTTAATATGTAATTCAGATGGTGAAAATATAATTTTTCAATCTACCACAGCAATTAAAACGTTTTTGCACAGCAGCATTTTTTTGCAAGACGTTGTGCATACACCAAAGGAAAGGCATATTAGTTTTTAAACTGTCCGTCTGTCAGTCCGTCAATTTGTCCGAAAACTAAACATTGGCCATAACTTCCGTATTAGTAAACGAATTTGATTCATATTTGAACACAACATCCCGAAGAACAAGACCTTCCTACGGACCTGTATTTTTTTTTACCTTGGCCCCTGAATGGCCTTTACCTTGAAGGTCAAATTGTCCAAAAACAATTAAGATTTGGCATATTGTTTAGGCACAACACATCTGGACAAGGCCTTTCAGCTATCCTATATTCTTTTGACCTTGACCCCTGAATGACCTTCACATTGAAGGTCAAATTGTCCAAAACTTAAAAATTGGTCAAAACTTCCTTATTAGCATACGGATTCTACTCATATTTTGAAACAACAAACAGACAAGACATTCAAACTGATCTGTATTTTTTTACTTTGTACCCTGAATGACCTAGAACATCCAAAATCTTTAACATTGGTCATAACTTCTTTATAAGTAAGTGGAATTAATTCATATTTGGACACAATGCCCCTTTGGACAAGACCTTCCAACTGACCTATATTTATTTCACCTTGACCTTGAATGACCTTCACATTGAAGATCTAATTGTCCAAAGTCAAATAATCTATCTGGTCCATAAATCAAAGGACAAAACACCACTTCGGGGGCATTGTCAACTTACCGTGATAGTTCTTGTTTTACATAACTTGGTCAGTCTTCAGCTCAGGATAAACACATGTATGTGTGTATCACACAGATTGTGAAATTGTTGAAATAATCATAAACTCCCCGTGATGTTCACTCGTGCCACACTAGAGTATACGAAATAAAATAGCTAATTTACCTCCGCTGATTAGTTCTTCTGTTAATCTGATGACTTGTGAATATGAAAAATATTATTTTCAAAAAAGAAAAAGAAGAACTATTGCAAAGAAAAACTATTGTACAAAAACGTTTTGATTGCTTTTGGTAGATTGAAAATTGTATTCTTGCCATTTGAATTTCATATTAAAACCAGACAAGGACTGCACTTGTCTTGCTCACAACGAGGTTATGGTGCTCACAACGAGGATTGAAGCAAAAAAGGGTATATCTTCGTTTCTATGAAGACTTTCAGATTATAATTTACTCTGAAGACTTGTGGGCATCTGTTTAAGGTTAGAATGCACAAAACGTCACCAGAATCGACGTTTTCAATGTTAAATTAGGTCCAAAGAGAAGTTGCCTCCAGTTTTCCTGCTACCCCGAGTGACTGCGTCGCACGGTATTTCCATCAAATTGTCCACCAACAGGCAATATCTTTACATGTGCATACTCGGAAAACACATCGCTAGCTAACTGCATTTCGATATTTTTACACAAATGTCTGTAATCTTCAAAAATTATGAAAAACTCACCTTGTTTATCGTGTCACACGTCAAAGATGGGTGCTCACAACGAGGAACGGAAGTTGCTCACAACATTTTAACCGATGGACATTTTCCACTCGTTGTGAGTTAAACGGGCGTGTGTATGTTCTTAAAGCACTAATTAGTGCACAGGGTATAGAAGTATATATACTTCGTATAAATACCAGTTTGGCGTATAAGTATTTCCTCATCAATAGTGATTAACTTATCGCATAAAATATTAACAGTAATGAAATAGTGTACAAAATGATTTGAAATATAATTAAATTAATGTGATATTAAAGTAAGGCTATATACCATTACTTTCCAAACTAAAATTCTGTAAATCTTAAAGCTAGTTTTTACCAAAAGTTGACAATGTTATCGTCTTTGACAAATGTTAGTATGCGTAAATAGAATGATCCAAATATTTTGAACTATAGATCAAATATCAAAAAGTGTTATCTAAGTTTCCATTAGCTCACTTCCTTCTGATACATAGGGCTACTTTTCACCGTTTCCACTTATTAATGATGAAGATGGGTATCCTAAATTGTGAAAACTGGGAGAAGAATTTACAGTAATAAGTCAATAATGTGTAACAAGTGCCCTGAAATGTTGTTTGCTCAGGTCTATGAACTATGGTATATATACTTATTGATGGTTGTACTTGAATTTATCTTGTAAACTAATGTTCTTTAGTTGAACAGTCCATCTGGTCAATAGTTGTCAAATTATTATTTTCAAATTATGTTTTTTACATACACCTTCTAAAAAAAGAAATTAAAATTACAAATATTTATAATTTGTTTTCCTTTTCAAATATAAATTAACTATTTAGCTGTTATTAAAAAATAAAGCAGAAAAACATAAATTTGATCTTTATGTAAAAAAAAAGGACACGCACATTATTTTCAAATATTTAGATTTATTTCCCTACAAGAATACTTGATTCAGAATGACAGACATCTGGAATGTGTTCAGAGAGGTTTAGGTAATTAAAACTTTCCCAAAAACGAACGCCATTGGTTTTTCGGAGATGTTCCTGTGTTATCGCTGTACTTATGTTCAGAATATTTTCACCGGGCGAATATTGAGACCAGTTCTGGTGGCTTCCATCACTAGATGGAAATATAGCGCTATTCTGTCTGAAATAATAGAAAAGAATGTTAGAAATATATATTCACAATAATATTTCTAATACTCGTACATTTATAAGTTCAAATCTGTTTTGTTTGTATTTTGGAACGAAATTAGTGTTCAACATCAACTGTCCAGCTTATGTAATTGGTGTAATTTTGTGCTTGCACTATCTTACATTCTTGTAGAATCATACTCATTAAGTCTGCACTTTATAAAACAATCACAAAATACCGTATTCTGAAATATAAGTCACTTCAAAAATGCTCGTACAACAATGAATATCGGTCTGAAAAGCACTGTTTTGAGCATACATTATTAATAACAAGAAATAAATGATAATGATAACAAACTTCAATTTGGCAAAGCCTGCCCAAAGTTTCATTGTTTCAAGACTGACTTGCTTGTCGGCTATCGACCAATTTTGGTTTTTTCCCCACGTGACTGGACACGTGACGTTACGTGAGTTCGGACATGGCGTGACGTCTAAGAATGGAGCACCAAACTGATAGCATAGCTCTTCTGAATGAGGAACGCCTGAATGTTTGAACAAA